GGCAGTGGCAGGGCGCCTGCTGGGCAGGCTCTGAGCGGCCAGTGGTGTCCCTGCGCCCCAGCCCCGGGGCCTGTGCAGCCTCCCCGCTGCTGTGCTCTAGACCGCGACCCCCTCCAGGACGCAGACTGGCCCCAGATACTGACCCCAGGTCGGGCAGCCCCACGTGAGGGGCAGCTGATGAGCCTGAGGTCCCAGGCGACGTCCAGCACGGGGACAGCAGGGCCAACATTCCGGCCCTGGGGTGGCGTCTCCTCTGCGCGGCGCCTCGAGGGTGGTGAGGGCCTTCGGGCAGCACAGCGGCCTTCTCGGAGGGGGCGCTGCCCGGCGCGGGGCTCCCCAGCCCGCGCGCCGGGGGGTGTCAGGCGCTCCCAGGGCTGCCCCGCGGGGCAGAGCTGCTCGGCCACCCTGGGCCCAGGAGCCTGACCGGGCTTGGGGTGCGATCAGCACGCTGGACGGGCTGGAGCCTGGGGCCCAGAGTGGTCGGTGAGGGCCTGCGGGGGGTGGGGGTGACAGAGCCGGGTCTCTGGGGCGCAGCAAGGGTGTGGGCTCACCAGGAGGCCCCGCTGGCCCTGGACCCAGCCCAGCCCCAGGTCGGAGCCCGGGGCTGGAGGCTAGGGCCTTCCTGCCCGAGGGCTCGCTTCACTCCTGCCGAGGCCGGGGTGGGGGCACACCAGAGGCCGTGCACCCCTCACTAAGCCGCCTCGCCAGCAGCCACACCCCCTGGCAGGACTGAGGGGCTCCCTGGGGACCCGAGTGTGGCACCGCGGCCCCCACTGCCGCTAGCCGTAGCACGGCCCCCATGGCCCAGGCGGACCCAGAGAATCCAGCGGCCACGGCCCTCTGGCCTCCGCGAGAGGCCAGAGCCGCTGGAGGAGGCAGGCGCCCAGCCGTCAGCAGCCTGTTCCCGACCATCCCAAGAACCCGGGAGGCCTGAGGCGAGGCCCTGCGCTGACCGTGCTGACCAGCCTTCACAGAAGGGGGGTCCGGCGCTGCCCTGCAGGCAGGCACACCTGGGAGCCGCAGGGGCGGGGCAGGCTGTGGCCTCAGGGGCTGGAGGCCGCCGCCCCGCCCTGAGTCACAGGAGGAAGTGACAGCCGCGTGTGTGCCCCAGGCAGGAAGCCCTTGGATCTGGGGGCACAGGCCAGTGGCCAGGCCCGTCCCCCCTGGCGGGAGCCAGCAGGTGCACTGGGCCCGCCCCTCCCCGCCCCGCCCCGCCCCGCGGGAAGTCCACGGCCTTGATGGCCCCCGCCTGATAACGCCGGTCCCACACCTCCTACTTTGCTGCTTGGAAACACCGGGAACATCTCGGCACATCAAACGGGCGCCGAGCGACTCCCAGCCCCTCCGCACGCCCCGGCAGGGGCCGCCGCCCCAGGGAAGTCTCCCTCTGCGGTTCCAGGAGCAGGCTGGGGGGGCGGGGCGGAGGGGCCACGCGGACAGTGTCCTGTGCGGCTCCCACCCCGGCCTCTCCAGCCCCTGCAGCCGGGCCTGCCGTCGGGCCGGGGGAAGACCAGGGAGTCCGGGACCCAGGACCTGCCGGCAGCCCTGAGGGTGCGCGGCCGGGCTGCTCCGGCAGAGGCAGGAGGGAGGCGAGTCCCGCGGCCAACACCGCACGGCCGGGCCCAGCCCTAAGCCTCAGTCCAGCTCCTCTGGAAACGCAGGCTCACAGGCCAGGACCGGCTTCTGCGGGTAAGCCGCAGAGGCAGGGCACCCCAAGGCCAGTTGGGGGTGATGACTCGTCCAGCAGAGGCTGTGCAGCGGGCAGTTAGTTACCAGCGCGGGGAAAGGGCAGGCCAGGGGGTGTCAGCCGGGGCTCTCGGCCAGCTCTGCTCTGGGCCGGCCCTGCCCAGGGCTCCAGTCTCAGTTCCTCTGCCCTGCTCTGGAGGGGCAGGCGGGGCGCCCCTCCCCCAGCTCAGGCCCAGGCACCGGCTCTGGGAGGGTGGGAAGGGGGAGAAGGGGGCGGGGCTGGGGCTGAGAGCCGCGCTGGAGCCCGGCGGGCACTGCCCGCTGCAGAACCCCCCCAGGCCAGCACCTCCGGTGAGGGGCCCACGCGCCCTGCGTGACATGGGCGCGGCTGAGGGCCCTGCTCGGCCCCTGACAGCGGCCCCACGCGGCCCCACCCACAGGCCCAGTCTCCCAGCTTCTGGGCGCACCCGCAAACCCCGAATCAGCGACCGCAAAGCCAGCGGTGGCGGCGCGTGGCAGGCGGGAGGCCGGTTCCCTCCCAGGCGCGCTGGGCCTCCCGCACCTGCAGCGAGCTGAGCTCCGCCGCAGTCACTCACTTCAAGAAAGTCCGGGCGGCGGGAGGCGGGCGGGGGTCGCGAGCCCAGCGGC